AGACAGAGAGACAGAAAGACACAGAGAGAGATGGAGAGAGACAGAGAGAGACAGAGACAGAGAGACAGAGAGACAGAGAGACACAGAGAGAGATGGAGAGAGACAGAGAGAGACAGAGACAGAGACAGAGAGACAGAAAGACATAGAGAGAGATGGAGAGAGAGAGAGACAGGCAGAGAGAGACAGATGGAGAGAGGCAGAGAGACAGAGACAGAGAGAGATGGAGACAGAGGCAGAGGTGGAGAGAGACAGAGAGGCAGAGAGAGGAATAGAGAGAGACAGAGACAGAGAGACAGAGAGAGAGAGGGACAGAGATGGAGAGAGACATACAGAGAGAGGCAGAGAGACAGAGACAAAAAGAGAGAGACAGAGACAGAGACAGAGAGACAGAAAGACACAGAGAGAGGACAGAGAGAGATGGAGAGAGATAGAGAGAGACAGGCAGAGAGACAGATGGAGAGAGGCAGAGAGACAGAGACAGAGAGAGATGGAGACAGAGGCAGAGGTGGAGAGAGACAGAGAGGCAGAGAGGAATAGAGAGAGACAGAGACAGAGAGACAGAGAGAGAGAGAGAGGGACAGAGAGAGATGGAGAGAGACAGAGAGAGAGAGGCAGAGAGACAGAGACAAAAAGAGAGAGACAGAGAGAGGGAGAGAGAGATGGAGACAGGCAGAGAGATAGGGACAGAGAGAGATGGAGAGAGGCAGAGACAGACACAGAGAGAGGCAGAGAGAAAGCCAGAGAGATGGAGACGAGAGGCAGAGAGAGACAAAGACAGAGAGAGATAGAGGGAGATGGAGACAGAGACACAGAAATAGGGACAGAGATGGAGAGAGACAGCCAGCCAGAGACAGAGAGAGCCAGAGACAGAGATACATGGGAAGACAGAGAGATAGCGGGAGAGGAAGGGGAGAGAGAGAGAGAGAGAGAAAGAATGGAGAGACAGAGAGAGGGAGGGGAGGCTCCTCCAGGTGGAGCAGAAGGAAAGAACCTTCTGGGTGGGACTGGAAGCGGCACCACCGATCTTTCAGGTGCACCAGGTCAGAGGGAGGGGTTGGGGGGTCCCCATGCCTCTGGGAGGATAATGGGGCCAGCTGGGAAGGTGGCCAGCTAGGGAACGAGCAGTCTGTGCAAGTGACCACGAGCTCAGATGCAGACACCCCCCCACCCCAGCAGGAACGCCTGCTCCCAGGCCAAGGCTTGTCCCCTGGGCCCCACAGACTGCTCAAGCCCACCTCTGCAAACGCTCAGCTGGACTCCAGGCCTCTGAGAAACTCCCGGAACTGACAGGACAGGCCTGTGGCTGTAGCCGGTGTGAGCCTAAGCTCACAAACAAGCCAGAATCCTGCCGCAGGCCAGGGAGCCTCCGAAACTTCCCGATCGATCCCCAAGGAGCCATGCTGCCCCAGCTCCCTGGACTCTGCCTTTGCTGGTAGAAGACATGGCAACACCCTTGCCGGTGGCCAGGGCAGAAGGTGGCTGGAACGGGAAGCCCCCTAATCCCGCCAGGCTGTCTAGACACATCGCTGCACGCCCCTCTGGGGATGAGTCACTCCTCAGAGCTGGGCTCCCCCCGCCCCCGCCTGTTTTTGCTTCCTCAGGGTCACCGCTGGCTGCAGGTGCCTCAAGGACACCCTGGAAGAGGCTGTGGGGGAGGGAGGATGGCATTCAGCACAGGATACACACGGGAGCCCCAGGCTGTCCTCTGTCCACCGTTCCCACCCCAGCTCTAGCTCTGCACAGGGAGGTCCAGACAGGGTGGGGAGCCCCTCTGGAGCAGCCTAATCGTGGCCGTCACAGCTCAAGTGGGTAGCCATGGGAATGGGTTATTTCTAAGCGTGGCAGGTACTGCCTCCCCCATCCCCCGCCAACAGCTGGCCCACGACAAGAAGGCGCAGAGACAAGCACTGGGCACCCTGCCTGTCCTGGCAGGAAATGTAAGGCAGTGTGCCGCACACGCTGCCGGCGCCAACGCCACCCGGGGCCAATGCCACCCGGGCCAGGAGAGGGTTCGGGGCCAGCCACCGGCCAATACCCAAGGGTCCTAGGGCAGCTGGGGAGAAGGGGAATCCACCTTTTTCTTCCCTCCCACCTCCCAAATAACACACAGACAGCACTGTTGATCTGAGGATGGACATTTAGACATTGGCGCCAGGTTTGCGCCTGACCAGCGCCACGCAGGGGTGGGTGGAGCAAAGACACAGAGGTGGGCTGCAGGTATCATGGGGCACCAGCCAGGGCCTGGGGTGGCTGGGGTGAAGGTGGGTGTTTGGCCAGTGACCAGGAGTCAGGTCAAGTCCAGGAGGTGCCAGGGGCTCCAGGAGGGGAGGGCAGTGCCATACCCCTCCTGGTGTCCAATGTCACCAGGCAGCCATCACAGAAAGCAACCTTAGCCCGGGGCCCGGGTCTGCAGCAGGTGGGCAGGGTCAGCTTTTCTTCCATGGCGGGTGGCACTGCCGGGCCAGATCCTGGCTCTGGACCCCTGGGCATGCAAAGGCTAGGGGTGGTGCTGTCAGTCACACCGTCGCTGCTGAGGTCCCCTGGGTTGGCTGAGGCTTGGGATTCAGGCCGCGGTGGAAGGTCGGACTGCTCAAGGCTGGTATCTAAGCTTCTGCCCTGGGACCCAGTGGTGATGGCCACCATCTGCCCCCATTTCCACAGGAAGTCCTAGTTAGCCGCACACACAAAAGGGGTACCCGGCCCTGGAGAACCACCAGCCGCCCCGGGTCTGAGAACACTCACCCTGGCCGCTGGGCCAGGCCTGCCATGTCATGGCTCCCGGCTGGTCCAACACCCTAAACGGTACAGAGCGCTGCAGGCCCTCACCTCATGCTTCTGCAGCGCTTGAAGGTGGGGGCGTCTCCAAGGGGACGCTGGCCAGGTGCATGGAGGGGCCGGCCAATCTTAGGGCCACAGACCCCCCTGGACAGCAGGGGGTGTTGGCTCCTGCAGTGTGGGCCCGAGATACTAAGGCACGAAGCTAACCTAAGCCCAGTGGGGTGGGGCGGGGGAGGACAGGCTTGGAGAGCTGCGTCCCAGGCCTGCAAAGCACAGTGACCTAGCAAGGGCGACGGTCTATCTGGGACAATTTGGCACAGGATGGAGGTGCGGGGTGATCCGGAGTGCCCATGGCTCTTGCTGGAAGGGGCTCCATGCCCTGGTCGCCTCCATGAAGGCCTGTGGTGAGCGGGGAGAGCCCTGGATGCGGCCGGCACAGCAGCGCAGGCCCAGGGGCCAATCCAGACCCAGAGTCTGGGAGTCTGACGCCCGGCTGGGAAGGGCGTGTGACGATGCCAAGGTGCCGGAGCCGTCGCCGGCAGGTCCTCCTCCGCGGGGATCTTAAGGAAGCAGCAGGAATGAGGAGAGGAGAGCGGGCGGAGGACCTGGGAGCTCAGGCGCCCTCGGGCAGGCGGCGCCCAGGTGGGCTGGCGGCCTCCCGCTTCAGGGGTGTCTGCGCAGGCCGGGGCGCGCGAGGGCCGGGCGCATGAGGTTCTCGGTGATGTAGGCCACCAGCAGGCAGATGACCACCAGCATGACGCAGATGGAGCCGCCCACCGCCGTCATGGCCACCACGATGTCCTGCATGCCGGCCGGCTCGGCGGTGAACTCCACGCACTCGGCGGGCTCGGGGGGCTCTGGCGCGGGGGCGGCGGGCCCAGCGCGCAGCGGCAGCGGCTGCAGGCACAGGCGGTAGAGGACGCCGTCGTGCACGTCGGGCAGCAGGTAGTCGCGGCAGGAGGCCCCGAGGAGCACGCGCTCGCACGGGAAGCGCGTGTAGGCGCCGCGCCACGAGCAGTTGAGCGCGAAGGCGCGCACGCGGCGCGCGGCGGCTGGGGCCAGGCGCCACTGCAGGAGGACGCTGCGGTTGCGCAGGACGCTGGCGCGCAGGGAGCGGCCGGCCGGGGCGTGCTGCGTGCAGGCCGGAGCCTGGCAGCGGAAGCCGCGCGCGGGGCTGCGGAAGCACAGGCGCCCGCCGCCCGCCTCGGGGCCCTCGGGCAGCACCTTGTAGGGGCACCAGGGCGCGTCGGGGGCCGGCTCCCAGCCCGGCGGCGTCGGGGCGGCCGCGGCGCAGGGCGCGGCGCGCAGGCGGCCAGCAGCAGCAGCACGGCGGGCGCGCATCCTGCGGCTGGCCGGGCGCGCGGGGCCACGGGGCGCGCGCTGGGTCACGCGGGCCGCGCCGCCAGCGTCCCGCTGCCCGCTCCCCGCGATCCCGGCGCGCCGCGCCCTCCGCCGCCGCCCGCTCCGACCGCCCCGCCCGTGCGCGCTCGGACCGGCGCGGCGGCGGAGCGGGGCCGCCCCTCGCCCCGCCCCTCTTAACCCTCGCCGGGCCGCGGCCTGCGGGTGCAGGGGATCCGGGGCGGGCGGGGGGAGGAGGGGGGCGCAGTAAGGCGGCCGAAGTGCAGGTGGGGCTGGGGTGCGTGTAGGGGCGCGGGGTGCGGGCAGGGCCGCCTCTCCTCCGGCTTCCCGCCTAGTGAGCGCACCTTGGACGCCTGCGGCTTTTCCGAGCCGAAACTCACGGGCTGTGGCCGGCTTCGTTTCGTGTCGTGCAGCTCCGCGACCGCCCGTCGCCACACCATTCAGGGACTTCGTGCTTTACGATGGGGGCGCAGTGGCCTGGCACACGCAGGACCCCGGGCCTCGAACCCTCGCGCTGGCCGCCCTGGACCCGCGGCGGGGACCCGCACAGTCAGAGTACCTGCCCATACCGATGGGGTGGGGACCACCACGGAGCCTTTCCTTGGCCCCGCGGCTTCTGTTCCTTTGGAGACGGACAGCGCCCACCCGGAGGAAAGCCTGACAGACGAGACTTCGCAAGGTGAGAACTCCCTTCGCTCCCCACGCAGCTGGGGCAGCTGCAGGGCGCCGACCTTCTCAGCCTCATCGCCTCACCTCTCCCACCAGATGCGCTCTGGGGGGCCCTCCTGATGGTTGCAGGGAGGTCAGGGCTGGACAAAGGGAATTCAAAAAGCCCACCCGGTGCACTGGGTAGGTGGCACCGATGGGGAGGGGAAGGCGGGACGCACCCCAAGACCCTGGCCCCTTAATCCCATCCCTGCATAGATCACCCAGCAACCAGGACACCCCTCCAGGGCCAGGGCTATAGCCAGGGACTGTATGCAGACATGGCTGGGTCTGGCCGGCCTACCCTAACTGGAAAGGAGGCCAAGCTGTGCACCTAAGGCTGGGCTGGCACCTCCGCTGAGCCAGCTCTCGGTCTGCAGGGGTGGGGAGGGGTCTCTGGCAACTGGACCCTGAGCTCCTGCAACCCGTTTCTGTGCTCCTCTTGCCTGGGGGGAGAGCGAGGAGAGACTGGCTCTTCTGCTCCTGACCTCTGGATGGCCATGTCCCCGCCCCCCACGGAGTCCCCACCCAGCCTCACGAACTCCTGGTCATCTTGAAAAACCCAGGGTAGTGGTCAGGCCCCCACAGGATCTCAGAGGCTCAGCCAGAGCCCAGGCCCAGCGGTCAGGCCTCCACCAACTGCGGTCACGGTGCACCTCTGTCCCCAGCATGGAGGGCCTTGACCGCCTACACCGCTTCTCCAACCTGTTGGGCCCCTGGCAGGATCTACTGAGGCCTCTGCGCCTGGCACAGAGAGGTTGGGGGCAGAGACCTTGGGAGAGGCGCTTCGTGCCCCCTGCCCCCAGCTCCTACCTCTGCTTAGGAAGGGCAGACCCTGGGCTCTGACTCTTGCCCCAGCGTTGTGAGGCAACTCAGGGGCTGCACCAGCAAAGCAGAGAGTGATGGTGACTCAGGGGACCCCCATGTCCTTGCCCAGAACTCCTCAGGGGTTCAGCCGGTCTACTGCACCAGTTTTCAGTGGAAGCCCCTTGTGAAGGTATGGGCAGTGGGGCAGGGCAGGAGCCTGGATGACGGCGTATGGGGTGGGGGGCCCCTAACTACCTTGGCATGTTGGCCTGAGGACAGCTGGGGCCTTCACCCTGTGCTGTGACCATTCCAGCTTCGTGTTGCAGCACCTCCATTTCCCTCTGGGCAGCCCTCTTTATCCATGCTCAGATCGTGGGGAGCTTGGGTGGGGCTGGCACTCCCCTGCCTAGGAGTTGGCAGGTAACCTGGGCCCGGCCAGCCAGACTGGACCCCTTAGTCTCAAGGCCTTTGCTGAAGCTCTTGTGAAAGGGGCGACTGCCCCTGACAGGTGTTGGATTCCAGCTGCTGTGGCCCTGAAGGTGGGTGGTGGGAAGAACGGGAGAATGAAGCCAGCCTTGGGAGAGGCAGGACGCCGGCCTGGCCCAGCTGCTTCCAGCATCTGGATCCAGCCTCACCTGAAGCCAGCTACCTCCTGGACTGCAAAGTCATTGTCAACACCAAAACAGGGTTTCTGACCATTGCAACCGAGGGTCCCGGGATGTCGTGGCTGCAGACCCTGCAGACCGCTATGAAGCTAGTCCTGCCCGCCTTGCATCAGACCTCTAGCCAGGGACTGTGGTTGCAGACTTAGTCCTGGGACTGAGCTCCTAGTGAGAGGCCAGCAGCGAGGGAAGAGGGACCAGCAGAGAAAAGGGTGGAGCCTCAGGCGGCCAGCAGAGCAGCAGAAACCGAGTCTGTGAGAGGAAAACGTTGCTTCCCGCGGCCTCCTGCTGAGCTATGGGGATCTGGGTATTGCGAAGAACAGCTGGGGCCAACCCTAAGGAAGGAAGGAGGGAAGGGGACAGGGAGGGGCGAGGAGGAGGGGGAGGGAGTGACCTCTGCTTAGCGCCTGCACTTGGGCAGCGGTGGCCTTTCACACGCACAGGCTTCCCTGCCTGCAGCACCGTCTCCAATGCTGTTTGTACACACACTAGCATCCTGATAGTCACTAAATGTTTTCTTTAAATGAGTTCACTTTTTCACTTAGAGTGCTTTCTAAAAGCAGATCATGATCGCAAATAGTAAGTATCACTTCCATAAATAGAAGGTGTCAGAAAAATAACTATCAGACGTTCTTGGTTTCTTGTCGTGCGTGGAAGCATCAGACGGTCTCTGAAAGGCTGTCCCTCTGCTCCCCAGGTTGGCCCATCCTCTGCCACAGCTTGAGCCCCACCCAGGGGGTCCCTGCTTGAGGAAGTGCTTCCCCTGTTCTCTCAGACCCTACTTCTGCCCCCAGAGGGGTGTCTGTCCAGGGGACCCCTCAGAGGTCCCACCCAGCCACTCCTGATCTCCTCCCCACACAGGTGACTGGGCCACGGGGGCTCGTGGGCAGCCCTAGCCAGGGCTGAGTCCTCACTGTAGCAGGGAAGCTGCTGCCCTCTCGGCAGGCCGCCCTCTGGGAACCCCTCTTCTTTCCAACTGCCCCAGCTCCAGGATGGGCTGAACATGCTTTTGCCTGGCAGGGGAAGGCTGGACCAGTAACAATGGAAGTCTCCAGCAACAGTGGAGACACGGGGGCAGGGGAGCTTCCGGACGAGGTGTCCTCCTGGCCATGGCCTTGAGGGAGCCTTGTGGCTGGCACGGGGCCTGCTGGGACGTGAGCAAGTGGGTCCCTGGGGACCTGGGGAATGGCTTCGATGCTTAGGAGCTGTGAGAACGAGAGCTCCAGGGCAGCAGCCACCGCTTCTCATGGCCCCCATGACCCTCAGCCCCTTTACGCTGGGAGCTGAGTGCCAGTTTCAGCATCCTGGCACACACTTCTCCTTTAGGGCTCCCAGGAGCCACTCTTCCCTGCCCCTGTGGGTCTCCTGTTTCCCCAGCAGCAGTGACTGCTTTCTCTTCCAGAAATGTGTGCCCCTGTGAGCCCTTCACCACCTCTGGTCATGCCTCCAAAATTCCAGGGAGGGGACAGAGCCCCTGGTGGAGAGGCGGGTGCCCCCCCAGGGAGGGGACAGAGCCCCTGGTGGAGAGGCGGGTGCCCCCCCAGGGAGG